TGACGGATATTCTCTTTTTGTCTTCAAAATTTGGTACGCACAACAATTGTGCCACAAGAAGCCAGCGAGTAAGTCTTAGTAGTGGCTATATTCTCATGTCCATTTTTCAGAGGAAGACCGAACTCTCGCTTCACCATCGACCGCATTTGGAGGTTTTTACATAATTGATAGATGGCGTGCATAACTATGCTCATCTTTATTTGCGACTATTCAACAGTTGTATACACATGATGCTGTTTAATATCAAACTCGAAGTTTGAATCCAACATATTTCTGCATCTTAATAATCACTATGACAGAAAACGTCTTTGTTAATTGCACCGAAAAAAGACTTAACATTTGTTTTAAGCCAATGTGTGGATTATTATTTTTATTGTAAATATTGTAAATAATATTTGTGTATTGTAAAATCATTTCAATAGAAGAATCATTAACATCAGCACTGAGACAAATGTGTATCTCTACCGAATACTTTATGGTTTTAATTAAGGGTAACTAAATCCATTTGGGAAAGTATGGCTTTTGAAAACATATTCCTCCTGATGTTCTTCTCTAGTTGGATCTCATCTATGGAGCATGCCTATATCTAAACGCTGATACTCTTAGTTATCACAACACAACCACCATAAGATGAGAGCAACCAAGTTGAACATAAAATGAGTCAAAATAATAACACTATGAATGTCGATCAGTCGGGCTAAATATTCGGAGTTTAGTTTGAAAAGGAAGAAATTCGAGTGAAATGTGTGATATTTAAGGGAATATAAAGAGTCAATGGATATGTGTCATTGTGGTCGATTTCGAGCTATATCATCAAATTTACTCCAACCATTGATTTGTAGTTAATAGCGCGGACTCTGATCAGGTGATCTGTATCTTCGGGCAGGCCTCTTCAGTCCAACATTCTACTAACTTCATAAACTGATAGTATTCTTGACAAAATCGACACCAGAAATCTTTTTACTTCTAAGCCATATTACATATTAGGGTAAGCAATAGCTTGACCAATGTAACGCATGAACAAATCACCTTAGTCGAAAAAGTCACGAACACCATATGAAAATTCTGAGAATATGAAGTAATGTGTTCAGGACATTCAGACAGTTTGTTGATAGAATATTTAACTCAATTAAATATGATTTTTTGTGGCTAACATTTCTTTAGCGAGTTAGTTTTTATACGAGATAGGGGTCACTAGCCCTCATGGCCAACTCTCCTCCTTTATCCACGGGCTTGGGACCGACAGTGGCCCCAAAAGGCGCTCCAGGCGAAGTTACAATATGATTACAAATCACATGAAAATGCATTTTTGTACTAAATTCCAATATAGTTGAACTCAATACTTGATTTATTTATGTTTTTTTCCCTGATTCATTTTTGCTTTCCAACTGAAAACCCACATACTCTTCTATAGGTGATGGAAGATATATGTCATAAAATTTTAGACTTATACCCAGCTGATGGAAATACCGGTGATGAACAAGTTGGCAGTACTACTACTACTACTACTACTGCTACTGCTACCGCTACTCCAACAACGAATAATAGTAATAATAATAATAACAGTCATATTACTAAACGTGAATTACCAATTCATCATCATTCCACTCATTCCATGTCATTTGATTCAAGCAAGTATCAAGGAATTCATAGTAGAGGTGGCGAGCCACCACCTGTTAAAAGGCAAGCATTGATGCGTTCCACAGGGAGTAGTAATGTTTATGCATCAACTACTGTACACACTGGTTCTTCTTCCAGTGGTGATAATCATATTAATAGTAGTCATGTGACTGCACCAATGATCAATGACAGTGCGAAATTAATGAAACATGTTCCATATCCTGCACATTATCGTCCACCATCTGATGCAACGGTTCACAATAATAATAGTAATAATAATAATCATAAAATACCTGTATATAAATGAAATAATGTTAGAAATAAGTAAGTAATTAACATATATTATTGTCTTCTTCAAAGAAAATCTAATCATATTAATAGATTCTGTGCATATAACTATTATCATTATAACACACTATCCAGTGACCTGAAGATGGTCACTAGTTTTACTGATGTGTTGTTGTCCAGTGTGTATACACTATTGAGAATTAATACACATAGGAGAATAGCAGCTGTCCACTGCTCTATAATTTCTATAGCTGAAATTTGTCTGCAACGATGATTATCTTCAAACCGAACGAGTGTAGATAAAGGATTTTCCTTAAATTCTAATTCAGTCTTTTATATAATGTTTGGTCTTGTTTGCTGTTACGGGTATGACGGCGGATGTCACTTCCCAGCTGCCCACACAGTGAAAGGGTGTTTCTTGAAGAACCTGGAAAGGATTATTGTTGGTCTTGGAGACCTGGGAGCGTGGTCGCAGAGCCCAAAGCACCACTGCTTCAGGCCGGTCACTCAAGGCCTTGTTATTGGAATATTTTGAAGTGTTAGCTCCGTTCTTTTTAAAAGCCCTTACCGTCGGAGGCGGAAATCTGTCAAGTAGGGTGAGGTGTGACATTTTTTAGGGTCGACCTTTTCTAGCCCCTTACTTCCTTGTGAGAAGGCAGCATCTCTACAGATGCTGGTTGTCCGAAGGAAACACCTAACCGCTGACATACCCCTCTACAGTCAGCAGTACGACTTCTCCCTCAGACCTTGAGTTGCTGCTCTTAGTCTTACCGTCCTCTAATCCACCTGCCTAGCATGGTAGGTAAACCCGACCACCACGTCAAGGTAGCACCTACGGTACGGATATAATGTTACTACTCAACCATTTAGTCTATATAAGAGATGCATAACATAATGAGCACAGTTAGGCCGAATTCAATGTCCATTTAGTTGCTTGGAAAACTTTGCAAGCAACGAAACAACATTATTAATAGTCTAGATATTTATTTTTGTCTGAGTGACTATTCTATAATGTTCTCTTTTTTAATGTTTCTGTAATCCTTCTGTATTACAAGCCAATGGCTTCATGTTATTTTCCTAAAATGTGAATAGTATCCTTAAATATAATATCATGGATAGTTTTTATTTGGTACCATTTAACAGTCATGTCGAGTTTTTACTATACCTTTTTTGTGTTGAAGAACTAGTTGGAACAGAATGCATGTAATGTATACATTTGCCATTCAACTGACTTCATACGTATGTACGTACATCTCCAGGACCAACAGATGAATGTAACTTTGTAAATATAAATAGATATTTTAGATTTGTAACTATTTACACAGAAACTAAAGTATGTTTAGATCTCTAGACTACTAAGCCGGGATCCAACGATGTCAATGTTTAACTCTAATCAATCTAAGGATTTTGCACAACCTTACCCGATTATATTAGGTGGGTAAATTGCCTACATCTGACAAAGTTGAACTCCACTGGCCATGGCTTCTCACTAGAACTCCAGTGCTTTCAAGTTTCTAATGGTTTGTAGTGGTCTAACAATGCGATCGATTTATGATTCGAATGTCAAATGACATGTCACATCATAATTAATCAATTCTGAATTTACATCACTCACCATCGCCTCATTCATGCTTACCTCTATGTTATTTTCCATCCTGATTCTTTAAGCAACAAAACCCCAAAAAATTGTACATTGAAAATGTTATCACACTGCCAGAAAGTATGAAATGATGTCAATTGATTGATAGCTGCACAGTATTTGCATTAGGGGGTTGTGGAGATTGTCTGAGTCACTTTGGAATCATGCTATGAGTCCTAAACCAGGACGAAACGATTGTCCAATGCTTCCAAGTCTCAAATGTTGGCAGCCTGAGGACTGATCCATTCATCATTTCAAAATTTTTTTTGACTTGTGTTTATATTTTTGTAAAATTAAATGTCTGAATTTCATCTCCTTCAACTTACAGGTCATTCGTGTATACAACTGCTTATTAAACAAATTCACCAATAGTCAAGTGTGAGTGTGTGTGTGACTTTATCGATCGTTATGCTCACAATCAAACACAGAAGAAGACGACGAAGAATACTCTTTTTCTGCTTATGATGTCCAGTTCGATCAACACTCTTTTATTGAATCATTGATTATATAATTTGTATTCTAATGCTCAGGTTTTTCTGTACATAAAATCTATGAATATTTATATATATACATATATCTATCTATCTAAATAAATAAATTTAAAACTGTGATGAAAAGAAATTCAATTTTTTTTTCAAAAAATTAAAATGAACCTTTTTGTTGTGTGTGTACTTACCTCAATCTATTATTTTTTGGGGGGTTTTTCGCCCAAGGTCATCTTCAACATATCCTCCTTCCGGTTCGAATTAAGCATCATACTTTTCTCTGATGAATACAATAATTAACGTTAGTAGTTGTATGACAAAATATAATTAATTTTCCTTAGCGCTAAAATACTCAATAGCATGGAGTTGTTCTGTTAAGGCAAAACTCATGCACGTATGTACATACGAAGTTCTACGTGTTTTACATGTTCTCATTGGTCACTTAACAATAATAATGATGAGAAGGATGAAAGTATTCGAATTTCAATTATTAGGTTGCATGTTGTGTGTTGTCCGCATTTCATAGATTAGTCGATTCGCGTAAGTCTTGTACAAAAAAGAATGATACGCATCTAAGCCGAATACAACGACAACCTATATGTATCTACATAGGAGTAATAATTTTTTAGGTTAAGTTGTGGTCCAACTCCAAATGGGGCCCATGTGGGACTACTACAGGTTTCAAACCCGTATAAAGGAGAAAGGTTTACCATGAGGTTGGCTACCCTATCCCGTAGAAAACTATTTCGCTGAAAAAATGCTAACCAGAAAAAATAATTCAAACCATTTGAACTCTCCCCTGGGAGTTGCAAGGTTTTCATTTCGAAAAGTGATGAAGCGTCGTGGTGAATGCCGACTTTTATCACAAGTCAAGAGGCCGATGACTCTTCTGCGAACCTGAGCAACCATGGTACGATATTTCAGACTGGAAGAGTCGTTCAGCTGTCTGCTACAGGTTGTGGCCCCTGATTGTGAAGCCTTCATTGTCGGTGTAGTCTACATCATTAGTAGGGCTTGTTTCATATAAAAATTGAACTATTTAATTTCTGTCAGCTGTCTTGTCTTATTTAATAAATAAGATCTTCACTTTTACATTTCGAATAAGGCATAATGAGTACTTTCTTGCGTACTCATTTATTCATGTTTGTAAAAACAGAAGTATACCATCAAACTTTTATTATGATCTCGTACTTAAGTTTGTATCGAATTAACGTTGTTAGCCGTAAGGAATTGCGAAATCCGAATTTCTGATTCACAAAGCTGATTGTTGTAATTCTAACATCATACACAGTTCAACGAAACTTATCAGGGCGATCGGCTCGGAACGACTAGCTGTGACCAGTGGAATCCAACCCTGTCGATTGTGGGCTGTAATTACCGAAGACAAATGTGTGAGGTCGAGCAGAACCCCTATATTGATCAAAGTTAGACGTTAATACCGTTGGATACCGACCCAGAGGTTAGGCGTTCGCGCGCAATACCAAAGGTTCTGAGTTCGAATCCAGCAGGAGTCGGGGATGCGCACTGCTGATGAGTCCCAGTATCAGGACTCATGAACATTTGTACAAACCTCTAATATTGATGACTTTGAATTTGATTTTCGAATTCAGCTAAACACAAAAGTACACCTACTGTCGTCTTCTAAGCCACCTATACACAGAAATCTCAACAATGAACAAAATTAAAGGTGCTTGGAACATGTTAACATCTTTTGAACACTAAGTTGAACTGAGTAATAAGTTTTGTACTGAAAAAAATTGTTAAATATGTATATTATGCCATTCATTATGTTGACCAAAATATTATACAGCCGAGGTAGATAGTTGACCAAAAACAGAAACAAATTCACTGAATTGAAATCACTACAATTTTGATGATGCAATCAAGTTAGTGCTTTTTCTATATTGTTTCACAGAAAAGAAAAACGTCGAGTGGTGGATAGATTAGCAAGAGTAGCAAAATATTCAATTCATTTGTTGATAATTTTTCTCTCTGTGTGTATGTGTGTTCTTGTTCAAATGTCAAACGAACTGATCATTAAAACTGAATATATTATTGATTTGTTTTCAATTATTCGTTCTGGATAACAGAAGAAATATGAGCGATCAATATGATTAATTGCTACAACTGTTCATTGTGTGTATGTTTCAATTTCTATCTCATAACAATCGCTTTTTGTTCATTTTAGAATGACTTGTCATTTTTCTATTGATATCTTGTATGATCAAATCATAATCAGCATCCATAAGTAAACTGGACTGAGCTATTCGACCATAGCTTCGATTACTGAATTTATGAAAAGCAGCCTATAAATAAATTTTTAAACGAAAATAAACATGTACTACTACTACTACTCAATCGAATTAGCAGTATAAACAAAACATGTGGTGCGCAGAAATAAAGTGATGGCATCATAAGTATTCCTTTATTTTTAAGTAGAATCCCGTCTGGTGGTGGTCGCGTCCGCCTATCCCAGATGACCCAACTGAGTTATACTGACTGGAACATATGTCCCTTTAGGTTTTACTGTGCTAGGCAGGTCGATTGGAGAACAATGAGACTAAAATCAGCAACTTAAGGTCTGAGGGTGAAGTCATACTGCTGATTGTACAGAGGCGTGACAGCAGTAAAATGTTTCCCTCGGACAACCAGCATCTGCAGCGATGCTGTGTACTCATAACGGAAGTAAGGGGCTAGAAAGGGTCGATCCGAACATTGCCACGCCTCACCTTACGTCACGGATTTCCGTCTCCACCAGTAGGGCTTTTTAAACAGGAGCGGAGCTATAAAAAGACCGTGCAGTTGTCCCTTGGACTCTGCCATCACGCTCCCAGGTCTCCAAGACCAACACTAATCTACCTTCCTTTTTCAAGTTCCCCAAGAAACGCCCATGATGTGGGCAGCTGGAAAGTAACATCCGCCCTCATACCCGTAACAGCACACGAGACCAAGCTGACACACTCCAGGTAGCATACATTAAAACGAATCTATTTGACAATCAGCTTTTTAAATTTTCGAGCCAGTCATCTAATATTAACTTACCTCGTAATTTTCGTTGTCTGTATTGGAATTTGGTAAAATTCGTATTATATTTTGTATATATATGAGTACCATCGGTAGCAGAGTGATAACATTCTCATGTCCCATAGTTCGACCAATAACTTCTGGCCATGTTTCAAATGTTACTGATAAACTATGATTGCCAACATGATCCATTTGTATGTCGTTTGTCTTGTTTTTCCCATTTTTATACTCTAATCGTATAAGTTCACGTGCTAAGTAGACACCAGCTGCACATTTCACTGTGGCTAAAGTACCTGCAGCTGATAGTTCAGTTAAGCTCAGTTCAAAAAGATAACGACAGATTAATTCTATCTATAAATTTTGTAGGAGAAAAGTAGAGAATAATTTTCAACTATTATCATTATTATTTTTACAATTATTATTATTTGTATAATTAACAGTTCACCCAATGCTCAATATAATTGTAGTTATCAGGTCAAACCTTTTTCATGATAGCTGATAACTGATGAATAATCGGAGGAAATTACTGTTATGACTATTATTATTATTATTAGGTAAGTGAAATGCCGGCCCAGTGGTCCGATGTTTAGGCGTTCGCGCACAATACCAAAGGTCCCGAGTTCGAATCCTGCGAGGTACAGGAGTCGTGGGTGCGCACTGCTGATGAGTCCCATACCAGAACGAAACGGCCGTCCAGTGCTCCCAGGTTTCTTATGGTGGTCTAACAATGATTGACTGATGATTTCAAATGTGAAATAGCTATTGTTAGAGAAAACACAATTTTCAAAAATCTCAATACAATGTAGTTCATTAATGCATGTTAATACAGTTGACTACACCTTGAACACATTTTACTCTAGATCGATTCAAATTGTAGCAAGGAAAGTAACGTTTGAATAATTAACTTAATGACCGATAAGCTTGACGTTTTGAACAACAAGCTGTCGTTCTTGAGAAGTTATTGTAATCTCCTTGTCATAAGCACATATTGTTTCGCTTATGGCATAGGCGAGATATCCATATACCAACCGAAGGACGAGTCTACTACGCTCCGTCCTACAATATGAGTGTGCAACAAGGCATGTCAGAGTAGAAGATATCCGTAGGTTACCGGTATACGATCATAGGTGTCTTCGGAGCATCACCCGTATATCCTGTAACCACCGAGTAAGCAATACTGTAGTTAGAATAATGATATTAGATAAGGATGGTAGATCAGTTCATGAAGCAATGAATGTTGATCAGTTGAGGTGGTTTGGACATGTGTTGCGTATGCTTTACCACTGAATGCCTCGCCTAGCGATGATGCCTGGTGTAGGGGTAGGGGGAAAGAAAGCTAGGTACAGAGAAACTTCTACATGGAAAAAATCCACAAAGCCACTGACAAGTGGACTGAGTCATGTTGGTAGGTGAAGACTGCGTGGTTGGGTTCCGCGAGACAATGGTAACCGATGATTCGAGACCTTAAATAACATGGCTAAAAATCGTTAGCGATGGCGCAGATGGATCCATTCTGCGTCTTCTCTCAAATTTTAATCTGAATTCCTCAAGACGTTTTCATTCTTTTCTTAAAATCGATTCTTCTGAGATGTACTTCTAGAATGATATCTACGATCACTGATGTTTTTTGATTACCGCCTATACTTCTACTACCTCTACCACTATGAGATTTGAATTGACAATTCCATCTCTGTGTGCTAATATGGTACGGCAATTCGAATTGAAGTACGTACGTGCGAGGTTCTACGTTGTAGCTGACTGACCTTGCCGTAAAAATAAGTATGCCTTCTCTTTATAGTAACCAATTCGGTTTTTTAACACATCCATTGTTATTAGTTCATTGTCTTGAGTGACTATGTTGATTGAAGTTACAGCTAAAGATTGGCCATTATTCAGACTGAAATTTTGTTATGTTGCATCTCACCAACTAAGATCGACTTCTATGGAATACTGCTTAACTTAGCTGTTAGTTCAATAAATTTCCAACAATCAAACATAACAGGCCGTTTAGTGCTTCCAGGTTTCTAATGGTGGTCGATCAATTCACTATTTCAAAGTAACTCAACAATCTGCACAACGCTAAAATTAGAATTATCATATGCTCACTAGTGACTACTTCGGTGAGGAAGTTGCTCTGAATTCTAGTGAGAAGTCGTGACCAGTGGAGTTCAATCTTGTTGGGGTATGAACCAGTGCTCGCCGAAGATAGTGGTTGAAGTTTCACAAGAGTGTGGATTCTTCAAAGTTATAGATCAACATCTTTGAATGCCCGCTCAGTAGTCCAGAGGTTAAGTGTTGGTACACAAGACCAAAAGTTCTTTGGTTTTATTCCTGCATGTAGCGGTGGTTTTGGATGCGCACTGCAGATCAGTTCCATATCGGGACAAAACGACCCTCCAGGTTTCTTCTAATGAAGTTCTAACAATGATCGATCCACTATTTCACAATAACGGTCATTAGTTCAATTGACTATTCGGCACGGCTATTTTCTAGATTTTTTAAAATTGATTATTATCAGATCTTAAAACTGAATAAACAGTTTTACGTTTACTACGTAATTATTAGATAACGTTGAAGCATCTAGGGTTGCATATTGATGAAGTGTTTCAAACTGAAATGAAAATATTTTTGTATACCTCTCAAACTTTTATGACTCTCTATGATCGGATCCATCATCAAAATCAAATCAAAGTCTAAGAACGGGAAAGCACTAATAATTTCAAATAGATTTTCTCCAGTATCAAAGCAAACGTTATCTTATCACAGTTAATATATCATAGATTGATCTGATTTAAATAATCACTGAAAAAGACAGATCAGTTGGACATCTGTTTCATTTTCTCATGAGACTCATCAGCAGTTCAGATGCCTGATCCTACAGCAAGCATGAACGGGTCCAAAACTTCCAATCTTACACACAATCGCTTAGCCTTTAGATCACTGAGCTGGCATTCAATTGTTTGCATTTCTATTTGCCGTCAATTCGTAATATCTTTTATTCATCTTCCAGTTTACTACCTCACACTTGATACACCTGAACTCCATCGGCCTTGCTTTCTCACTAGATTTTCAGGATTATCCATCGAGTTAAGTCATTAATGAGTACACGAATCATTATTACACAGGGCAGATTAAGTAGTTAGTTGTTTTGAAACATTTGTAGTTCGCTGGTATTGATTGTATCTAGTTATCCAATCGTATGTGAAAAAAATAATCTAGTCAAATGTGTAACTTAACAATCTTCACAACCCCGTAATGCAAATTATCTGTGCTCGCTAGTGACTAGCTTCGTGAGGAATCTTCTCCGAGTTCTAGTGGGAAGACGTGACCAGTGAAGTTCAACCTGTTCGGTTGTGAAGCAGTGTTCACCGAAGACTGTGTATGAGGTTGCGCAACTTCGTGAATTGGTCAAGTTAGACATTAACACCGTTGGTTAACACCGACGGTTAGGCGTTCGCCTACAATACCGAAGGTCTTGGGTTCGAGCCCTGCGAGGTGCAGGAGTCGTGGATGCGCACTGCTGAGGAGTCCCATACCAGGAGGAAACAGCCGTCTTTCAGTGCTTCCAGGTTTCTAATGGTGGTCTAACATTGATCGATTCATGGTTTCAAAAATGTATAAAATACAGAATGTAACTATACTCTTTTGAATTTTTTTCTAAAAATATAATTAAACTAAATCTTACCTTTGCCTTACCAGTTAAAGTTAAATCATAACAAGCTGTTATTGCACGATCTAAGAAATGATGTGGCAAAGGAATATTTATACCAAAATCCAATGTTTGTAACACTTTGAATTCAAAATCTAGAACCTTTACCAGTGAAAAAACAAACAAATGAACGAACAATAGAGTTGATGGATAAAATGGACAAAATAATCACTTTTTATAGTTTACTCCGTGTATTGACTTCGAATCATCAGCCACTGAAAGCCTGGAAGGACAAGACTAGTGTTTCTCTTTAAATATTGTGTGATAGTATGCATGAAGAGGTTTGTACAAGATAGTTGACTATTTACTGTCTCACGTACTGTATTGTATGGTGATTAGGCAAGCTTAGGAAGCAGCCTGTGAGAGAGCTTAGACGCTCGTCGGTTCCACTTACTCGACTTCATGAAAACAATATCTAATGTAGTTGACAACTGCAAGCGACATTGTACTCATAAATGTTGTTTCTGTTAGTTATTTACGAATTATCTGTAGTGCGTGTACTGTGATGTTGAGTCCACAGGGTTTGGTCTAGATTTCGGACAAACGAATTAACCTTTTCATTCCAAGTTACTATCCCCATGTCTTTCGACCTTGGTTGTTTTTATTCAAGTATGTTTGTGCCGCTTACTTCACTTATCGCATGTTCAGTATATTTTGTCTTATTATAAATACTTAGTCATGCTTTAATGCAAGGAGTTCGATCGCTCACCGTTTTCACTTCGTTTCACTTTGCTTTAACACGGCAACGATTGCCTCAAATAAACTCATTCAAATGAATCGGTATTGACTTCTCATTACCGCTGTCTCACAAATGGGGTTTGACTAAGTATCATATACGAAAACTAAAGGAGAGATTTATTTCAAAGCATACTTAATTATTCGTTTCGAATAGCGGGCCACCATTATAGTGACCCGTACTTAGAATCCAACGTAGCTACATAAATTGATGAGTCCGATGACGAGCATAATGAAGCCATTAAATATCGTTCATGGATCCATATAATAAATGTCTATCTAATCTTAAACAGCCGCTGGAAAACCTGGTAGTTTAAGCATGTTGATAAAATAAGAATCAAAGTTGCACTTGTAAATGGCTAAAAACTCATTTTTCTCACTGAAGTCATCATGCCGAGGAATCCAAATGTTATTAAGGCAGACTACAACTGTAGTTGTAAACATATTAACTAATTGATTCCTATTTTACTCAGTTCGTTATGAACGAGAAATAAGCATTGAAATATCATATTGTAAGTAGTTTAGCAGAATCGATTACGAACTTTGTCTATATCTAGTATTGATGATAATGACCCACCGGAAATAACCAACAAAATTATTTCCGATGCAAACATGTTTGGGATCAGGTTCTCACCCTCGAAATGATAAAAGGTTGCATTGGCACTTGAACTGGTGATAGGGAGTGATGTAGTTGGGCGTGTTGACCGTTTCAGTCATCTTGGGACTCTCATCAGTGCCGATGGCCTGGTGACTGACGAAATCTCAGCTCGGATACAGAAGGCTCGATTAGCTTTTGCCAACCTTCGTCACTTATGGCACAGGCGAGATATCCGTCAACCAACCAGAGGATGGGTTAACTGTGCATTAGTTCGCTCTGTCCTACTTTATGGCTGTGAAACATGGCCAATCAGATTAGAAGACATTCGTAGGTTACTGGTTTTCAGTCATACGTGTCTCCGAAACATTGCTCGTGTATCCTGGCATAACTGAGTAAGCAATGCTTTCGTCAGGAAACAAGAACTACGTAATAATGGCGGACCATCTAGTGAAGTATTGGGAGTTCATCAGTTGAGGTGGTTGCGATATGTTTTACGAATGTCCAACCACCGAATGCTTCGACGAGCCATGTTTTGTGGTGTAGGTGTAGGCTGAAAGGAAGTCAGAGGTGGCTAAACCATGACACAAATCCACGAATCATTGGCCGGTGGACTGATACTACCTGGTTGGGGTCCACGAGACTATGGTAACCGATGGTTAGAAACTTTGGATGAGATAACTCAAATTAGGTGCATGTGCATCCATTCTTTGTATTATCTCAAATCCTAATCTATTGGCTACCTTATCACCTTTGTCTTTCTCTTTTTAAGTCTGTCTCGCTAGAATATACTTCTTGAATAATATCTTCGATCCCTAATCTTTCCTATTACGGTTAATAATTCTACTACCTCTACTACCATAGGATTTTAACTGACAGTCCCATCCCTCTCTTTGCTAATGTGGTGTAGCAACTGGCATTGATTTACGTACGTACGAAGTTCTACATCGTTGCCAATCGACTGACTGACTGACCGACTAGGAAATAACTGACAAGTTAAAGTACATAGAAATAGCCATGTGCGTAATGATGAAAAGCTGATAAATAGAAATAGCCCTTATATAGCTGAAAGCCAAATTGACATGATCCTGCTCGAATGAATACACGCCATGAAGAACAAATCCACCTAGTTGACATTCAGTGAGTTGCAAATTCAAACTCTAACCTCGTCTATATTAGTGGGATCAATAGCCCATTATACTACAGGTATAGATCAAACTTGAATACAAAAATCTTCACTTGTCTGGTGAGTTGGATTACCATTAATATATCTGAAATAAATACTGAAAAAAAACAACTTAATTTACTCAACACAATAGTTACCTGTTTAGTACTATACGAATTCTCAGTCAAATAACACAAAGTTTTAGTTGCTGGAGGAAAGCGTTCAATGAATTTTACAGCAATAAATATAGCTGTAATACCAAGTAGTTGATATTCTGATGGAAATAAAGTAATTTTTCGCCAAGTATACTGATCAACTAGATTGACAGCTAAATGCAATGATTCTGTGCGTAATTTTAAATATTGTTGTACCTAGAATTTATTGAATAAGGGTAAAGTATGTATATGAGAATGTCAAATAAAAGTTTCTGAATCAAATGAATAACATGTATGAAAACGATCAATTAAAATCATAATTTTCATACTTGAATGTTAGTTAGTAGTCCGATGGTTAGGCGTTCGCGCACAATGCCGAAGGTCCTGGGTTCGAATCCTGCGGGGTGAAGGAGTCGTGGATGCGCACTGCTGATGAGTCCCATACCATGACGAAACGGCCTTCCAGTGCTTCCAGGTTTCTAATGGTTGTCTAACATTAATCAATTCATGGTTTCGAAAATGTGTACCTTAACAATCTTCACAACCCCATAATGAAAAGATCATTTTGTTCACTTTTATTTTACGCAAACATTCGAATTAGGGAATAAACTGAACTGGTAATAATACTGTTATTTTCTGGTTTGTAGTACTGTTCAAATATGAGACCTTGAATGACATGGCTCAAAATTGTTTGCAATGGCGGAGGGGCATCCTCTCTTTGTATTCTCCAAAATTCTATTCCAAATTCCTCATGACCTTCATCTTACTCTTCTCAAATTTATTTCACTTGATTATATTTCTTGAAAAACATCTTCAAACCCTGATATTTCCGATTCCTGCTCATACTTCTACTACCTCTACCTTGATGGGATTTGAATCGACCAATGCATCTCTGTGCTAATGTGGTTTGGTAACTTGAACTGATGTACGACGTTCAACACTGTAACTGTCTAACTGACTGTTCAGATGTAAGTGACTACTTAGCTGAGTGACTCAAGCTGAACAACCGAAATCTGTCACCAATGAGTTGCATTCTGATTTAGAAGATCTAGTATTTTATGCTCGAGTGTTTTTAAAAAAAACATTTAAACATGTTAAGCTGAGCTAAGTCCATGGTTTAAAAGAGAAAAGCGATTAATTCCTTGTTATTAGTTTAACTGAACTCCTCTTGGGGTCCTTCTAGGGTTACTGTTGGTTTTACGTCCGAGATAAAGGAGGAGGAGGTTTAGACATTAGGTTAGTGAACTCATCCCGCCGAAAAATAACTCGCTAAAAAACGATATTAGTTTAGTTAGTTTCAATAACTTTCTACATAAAACAGTACATTTCTGTTTTAATATTTTTGTAAACCTGTTTACAGATAGATTATTCGAGGTTGTTCATTTCAGTTTTTGCAACTGAATTAAGTATACCTTGCTACATTTTTGTTTAGAATTCCTCTTAACGATAATCACTTTAGCTGAATATGTATTTACACTCTGTATCGTAGTACTATCATAGTACTATTCATGAACACCGCAATACAACTCGGTCAGAAGTAAAGTTGCTGAATTAATTTTGCTAACCGCAGTTACTCAACACAAGTCATTGTCATAGTTTGAAAAGAACACATTGAAATCATGACTCATTTATAGTTAGATCACCATAAAAAAACCGGTAGCACTGATCGACTATCAAGTCCTGGTGTGAGACTCGTCAGCAGTGTGCATACACGACTCCTGCTGCAAGTAGGACTCGAACCTAAGAGCACTGAGCTGGTGGCATCCAACGGTGTTAATGTGTAACTCTGATCGATCTAGGGATTTTGCGTGACGTCACCTATTTGTCTTCGGTAGTTACTGCTTACACCCAACAGGGCTGAACACCACTGGTCGCGACGTCACAATGTTTGATTCGTGATTCCATTGTGGAAAAACAATGATCTCCACAACTCTAATTGAAAAACTGGATAGAATGGTTTTATACTCACACTAACATAATGCTGTTCTCGTAGATTTGTTAAATATATCATTATTTATTGAAAGATTTCAGATAGAAATAATATTTGAACACAAACTGATACCAGTTGGAAAACTGCTTTAAAACTAGTGAGTGTCTGTCGCCTGTGTCGTTCTAACTTGAAACCTCTAAACAGATGAAGCTTGGTTACAGTAACGTGTACAGAAGCTTCAGTTTGTGAGCTAGTGAGTGTGCTGGTGTTCGATCACCAACTGAGTTGAAAGTCCATTCTCCATATTTTCATATTTGGTCATTTTTGAACGACAACACAAAACTTTACTCAAATAGTCATCAATTTTGAAGTATTTTCTAGCTGCTGTTAATTGTGACTGTAAATTATTCACAAAAACGGTATACAATATCGCCATAAAAAAATTCCATTTTCATCTTATTAGTAAATAATTCAACTTACTTTTATCATCCAATCGCATAGAGTTGCTCGAACTGATTCGGTTAAACCATGACGTTCCAAGAAATTTACTTGATAATATGATGTTGCTTTTAAATCTTGGGTGAATAAGTAACGAAAAATCTATATATTGAATGGCATAAGCCATGAATAAATCAAAATGAAAAATAATGATTACTTATGACAAATCAATATAGAATATATCAAACACATCGTTCATTAATTCATTAGTTAAAATAAAAATGTGATATGCACTTCGTGATACATGAATAAATAGATTTTCGTTCAAAATAGGCCAATATAAATTCCCTTTAGTTGGTTGAATCTTACCTTCGGGGTTTATGACTGCAAATGATCGATCGGTATCTTATAGTATCCAGTGGTTTATACAACGACACTATGGACGTAATACACACACATCATACAAAACGATAATGATTGATTGCGGTAGTAAACTGTTGGGGATGTTAGATCCCCCAAACTCGCTTGATTTTCACGTCTGGGCTGATCAGTTGACCTTGAGATTTCATTTCCCAGCAGGAAAATCTATGGCTGTGATTGGCTGCTGTGTGTTTTAGTGTGCTATTTTCGTAACTGTCCCAAGGACGTTTCTGTGATGAAATAAACGAGAGTTGTATGCTTGACTGTATTGTGGTTGCTGGTTGTTTGTACAATATACTTGCTACGCCTACCAAGCCTTCTGTTTACAGCTTGGAATTCAAGGTAGCCTATCTGGACGCTGGTAATTGTCTCGTTCGCGTTTATCGACTAAGGTGAACTCGTAATACCTTCAAGCGTACCTAGTGACGAACCCTACATAAACTTGGATGGTTAGATTAAAACAATAACGAGAAATGAATTGAAATTCACTCCATTGCACAAGCCAATGATCAGTTGGACTCAATACCCAAGGCAATAATCCGGTGCGATTTGAAGCGTGTACTACTAGGATCGAGTGCTGTGGATTGGACATCAATTCTGAGATACAGATGAAAAGTCCTACAAAAAGGATAGGACTTGGCGCTTGGATTTAACTGACAGCTACTACCCAACTCGTTTTATAATTTTAATATAGAGGTTAGTTACATATTAATGACTGAAAATTTGCTCTGTGAAAGATATATTGCTCTCAAACGGAATTCTTATGGGAATTTCTTTGGATCTAGAATGATTCTAGTTTCTTCAGACATTTTAGAGCAATAAATAAATCATATTACTGAAATTAGTATTTTGGAACCCTCTTACTTATGATTTATGCTTTTTGAGAAACTTTAGGAAGGTGTTTAAGTAACCCAGATAACTGATGGCATCTCATAAGTTAATCCTCAAAGCCATTATGCTAAATAAACCACATAATTTGGTATTAATTAGTGGTCCAACCCGAACTCCGTCTAGAGCCCTTCTACGGTTACTGCCGATCTAAAGCCCTAATAAAGGAGGAGGGTTGGGCATGGTGTTGTTAGTGATCCGATCCGATAGAAATCCGGCTCAAAAAACCCAACCAGAAAAATAATTCGCTGGTCTGGGCCTACGCTACATCAGGGGTAACAGGCGTAAGTAAGTATATAAGTAAGTGATGTAACCCATTTCCATCTAGGCCAATCACAAGTTGATTCATTTATAGTAAAAGTAATTTCTCTAATTGCCTCTTTGAAACGTTGATATTTTAGGTTTATTTTCTTGTCATACTCTTCACTGTCATTAAAAAACGTGTATCGACGCTTATGGTTACAGCAAGTTCAGCAAAACGCTTTCATTGCTATCAAACTTTCTACTGACCATTCACTACTTTTTTGTCAATCAAGTTAGCTTGCAAGTAGTAATCTTCATTCTGATTGCTTCTAACCAAATGAAGAAATTTTGACTGGATATTGGCTATAAAAACTATTTTGTTTGACGTCGTCAATCACAATTGACTTTCCGTAATATCGGATTTCATTGTAACCTCTTTCAGGAAAGTCGATATCAGATACACAAACAACTAGACAGACATTTCATTCACGGTCTATGATTTATGACAGAATACTTTCGTACAGAATCTTAAAGAAAGAATAACTTTATATTTCCAAACAATGATTGACTTACACGTTCATGATTCGAGTGAAACTCTCCTAAATGTTGTTCATCAGCTGAAGATCTTGGCAATGAAATAACTGAAAGACAACTATAATGTGGTTTTACTTTCTTATTGACGCTATCACAGATGTGATCATGATGATGTTCAGTAGGAATTTCAGTTTTTACTGCTCCAATGTTTATCTCTTTTTCTAACATAATTGGTAATTGATCGAAAAACAGTGCGGTCATCATTTTGGTACTTTCTATAACGGACCATTTCAAAAGTCTTCTCTGTTTGTTGTACGTGTATACATCACTCTCTTGACTAGTACTTATTCTTCTCAATCGATTATCATTTTTATATATCTGTTCATTTGATTGATAATGAAAACTACATCCTTCACTTTTAATGTCAATTGGTTCTGTAATAACAGTATGTACAACATTGTCATTTAGAGTAAGTTTTCGTAAATGCATCAATCCTACAACGGTATCATCGATAGATTTGGATTTTTCTAGAAAATAATC